AATCGCACCATCGAAGCTTTGCTTAAAAAGTATCATGTCACCCATAAGGTGTCAACTGCCTACCACCCGCAGACTAATGGGCAAGCAGAGGTATCCAACCGAGAAGTAAAGTCAATCCTTGAGAAAACAGTCAACCCAAACAGGAAGGATTGGAGTTTGCGATTAGATGATGCATTATGGGCGTACAGAACCGCATACAAAACACCTATTGGTATGTCCCCTTATCGCATTGTGTTTGGAAAAGCTTGTCACCTCCCCGTCGAGTTGGAACACAAAGCTTATTGGGCTGTCAAGAGCTTTAATATGAACATTGATGAAAGTGGCCTACATCGGAAGTTGCAACTTTTTGAGTTGGAGGAGATTCGCAATGAGGCCTACGAGAATTCAAGACTCTATAAAGAAAAGACAAAAGCATTTCATTACAAGATGCTTTTGAGAAAGGAATTTTCAATTGGACAAAAAGTCCTACTCTTCCAGTCACGTCTTCGGCTATTCCCAAGTAAGTTACGTTCTCGATGGGTTGGTCCATTTATTATCACTAATATTTTTCCTCATGGTGCGATAGAGATTCAAAGTTTACAGACTTCTAAGATATTCAAGGTGAATGGTCATCGGCTTAAACCCTACCATGAAGGGGCTCAAGTTGATTATATTGCTGATATACTTCTTGAAGATCCCAGCTACTTTGAATAATATGCACAACTAGAAGGGGAGTTTGTTCTATTCTCTTTTTCTTAATCGTTATTTTTCATTTAATAATCCTTTTCTGCATGTTTTTATTCAACATTGGGGACAATGTTGGTAATAAGTGTGGGGGGAGGAGATTTAGTTTTAGTTTTATTATTTCTCTGCTTAATTTAGTTTTATTGTTTGTTTGATTAATTTAGTTTTATTGTTTGTTTGCTTATGTCAAAAAAAAAATTTATTATTTATTTTCTTATTTCATAATTTTCAAAAAATATTTTACTATTATTTTATGCAAAATAAGTATTATTTTGAAAAATAATATTTTTTTTCTTTCTTGGAATGCATAACATAATTGAATAAATAGTTTGGCAAGTTGTGATTAGTTTGTTAGCATCTCTTGTTTGATATGTAGTGGCTATATTAAGTAAGCAATAAACCTGTGAGTGTTTTAAGCCACTGACTGACACTTCGGTCTTATTTTCTTTCTTTTGTGTGATTTCTTCCATAATTTTGTTTCTCTAGAACTTGCCTTGATTCTCTTTTAAAGCTAATTAGACCATGCATGATTCAAATGTGATTAAGGTCATTATTTGACTTTGAGCCTCACTAGCCAAATAACCGGTTTGTCCTGATTTATTTCCCTTTGTTAACCACTTTGAGCTTTATGGCCATTCCTTTCTTTATTTTGGACCACATTACAAGCCTTTTATATCTAAAATAATGCCTTCACCCAGCTGAATAACTAGTGGAGCAAATTTTGGATTATTTTTGTAATCTTCGTGAGGTTGGGAAGGATAAGTGTGGGGGAGATCACTTACTTTTATTAATATGATTGAGAGTGAGGTGAGTTGTATCTTCGTTGCCAATATGTCGTTGGTCTTCTATGAAAAAAGAAAAGAGGAAGCAGTTCACGATTCAAAAAAAAAAAAAAAAAGCATGAAAAATTGAAAAAAATGAAATGGAAAAATGAAGAATATACGTTTGAAAAAGAAGAATATTGCTGAAAATTTATGAGAAAATGAAAAAGAATCAGCAATTGATTTTGAGTTGAAGTTACTTCTAAATAAATGAAGTAAGGGGAAATTCTGGTAATACTGAGGAAGCATTCTGTACCTCAATGGGATGTGTTTTTTGATTGGAAATTGAGGGTGTTGGATTACTTGTATTTATTTGTTCCTCTAGTTTGAAGGTTTTGTTTAAACTACTTTCCTAAAATATTCACTACCCTAACCCTAGCCCCATTACAACCTGTGAAAAGTCCTTATGATTTGTGTCATGCATGACTCTTGTAGTGGTGATTGAGAAGATATGCAAGCCTATGGTAGAGCAATTTTATAGGAATGAACATAGTGAAATCTATACCCATCAAACACTTGAGTGATGAGTGATATTCCTGTGAGGGCTTACTTATTTAATTCTCTCCATTTTCAAATAGGGGTGCTAACTTAATAATTGCAGGGTGCTTCAGATTGTTGTTCATGATATGTTATGAGTTTTGGGAATTTTATTTATTTACTTTGCAAATAATATTTTTGCTTGGGGACAAGCAAATGTTTTAGTGTGGGGGAATTTGATAGGCATATTTTACGCTCATATTTTAGGTACATCTTTATAATATTTTTATATTAATTATTTAATATTATCTAATAATTAGTTCTTTTTATATACATAGTATAATCTATTCTTATACTATATATAATATATATAATATATAATTTATAAGAGTACATACTATGTACTTAATACTATATATATATAATATACAATATAATATATAATATAATATATATAATATAGAATGCATTATAGTATACATATAATGCGTACTACATTATAATTACTTTTATATATATATATATATATATATATATATATATATATATATATATATATTATAAATCTAAACTTTACAATTGATTTTTTCTTTTTGTACAGGCATGCATCATAATAACATGGCTAGAATTATGGAAGACTCAGGCATAAGGCAAAATAATAGGAAAAATGAGTGGTAGAAAATGATTGGGAAAATATATAAATAGTTAAGGTTTTCTATTGTAAAATGTTCATTCTTCCCCTCTCGATTATTCTGTAAAGCTGTTATCAATGTTCATTCATTGCTAATTTCTTTAGCTTGGTTTAGTGAATTGAAGGCCCGGAATTGATCATGCTGTAAGATTATTTATTTATTTTTATTATATAATTTTTACGCATTTGGGTATTAAATATTCTTCTAAGTTATTTGAATAGTTGTATCATTTAATTGCTAGGGAGACCTACTAGTTATTTACTTAATATAATTATTTGCTATATTAGATAATGTTGTGCTACAAATTATTCTAATATTCAGTAGCAACTGAGGTTAATTATTGACGGCTTAGTGATAATTGGTCTCGGGTAGAATATTTTCCTAAATTAAATGCAACCGCTTGTGTTTGTGTTATTTAGTTTGTCGGTTTTCCTAGTTCCTATTGTTGCTACTAAATTAAATCTATAGCGCTTGTCTTAGATTATTTAGTAGTTAGGGGTAATTAAACCGCTTGTGCTTTATTTACCTACAACTAAGGGAAAACAGAAATGAAATAATTTCACGACAAATATTCAATTGCATATTAATTACTTTATTAATCAATGATCAGTGTTAAATTCCGGTGGTGGATCTTTACTAACCAAGGTTTCTTATTATAAGTGTTTTCGATATATTATTTTCATTGCTTTATTCGTTCAGTTAAATTACTTGTTTATTTAAATTCTCTTTTAATTTATCTTTATTCTCAATATTTTCCAAACCCCCCTACCTTTAATTTGAGCACAAAAGTTAAACTAGTTACTCCTCGTGGGATCGATCCTTACTCCCGCTACTACGTTTGTAAGGTTTTAATTTGGGAGCCTACGACAGCTCGCCACGCCGCCGTCGTCGTCGTCTCCGATCAACCTCCTTCGCTGCTGCAACTTCAAGCCGCCGACGCTTCACCCTCTCCTCCCCGCCGGTGCACCGTCTCCTCCTTGCCGCTGCATCACGTCGCGCCTCCGCTGCCGCTGCTACGCCATCGAGTCGCGCCGCTGCTACGCCGGTACGTTATTTTTTTAATTATTATTAATTCATTTCAAATTTTATTAAATTTATTTGCAATTTAGGGTTTGTTTGTATATATTTGTAAGTTTTATTGATTAATTTTGAATTTTATTAAATTTATTTGCAATTTAGGGTTTATTTGTATATATTTGTAATTATTATTGATTAATTTTGAATTTTAGTCAATTTATTTGCATTTTAGGGTTTATTTGTATATATTTGTAATTATTATTGATTAATTTCGAATTTTAGTCAATTTATTTACATTTTAGGGTTTATTTGTATATATTTGTAATTATTATTTATTAATTTCAAATTTTAGTCAAGTTATTTGCATTTTAGGGTTTGTTTGTATATATTTGTAATTATTATTGATTAATTTCGAATTTTAGTCAATTTATTTGCATTTTAAGGTTTATTTGTATATATTTGTAATTTTTATTGATTAATTTCGAATTTTAGTCAATTTATTTGCATTTTAGGGTTTATTTGTATATATTTGTAATTATTATTGATTACTTTCGAATTTTAGTCAATTTATTTGTATTTTAGGGTTTATTTGTATATATTTGTAATTATTATTGATTAATTTCGAATTTTAGTCAATTTATTTTCATTTTAGGGTTTATTTGTATATATTTGTAATTACTAGTCTATTTTCAGCATATCAATTATTTTAGATAGAGTTGAATCAATGTTAACAAAAGTTTAATTGGAATTAATTGGTAAGGCAAGTTCGAAAGGGCCACCAGCTAAAGTTATGTGGTATCTCCCAATTCTTCCAAGATTTAAGCGTATGTTTGCAAATCCAAGCGACGCGAAAAACTTAACATGGCATGCAGATCAAAAAATTTCTGTGGCAAGCTTCGACACCCAGCTGATTCTACTCAATGGAAAACCTTTGATAATATTTTTCCTGAATTTGGCAATGAGTCGAGAAATCTTAGACTTGACCTTTGTACTGATGGTATAAACCCTCACGGGAACCTAAGTAGCAAGCATAGCTCGTGGCAAGTTATGTTAGTGATTTATAACCTACCTCATTGGTTGTGTATGAAATGCAAATATATATTACTGTCCTTGATGATTTCTGGCCCAAAACAACCCGGTAATGATATAGATGTCTTTTGGGCACCTTTGATTGAGGACTTGAAAAAATTGTGGGATGAAGGTGTGTTAGTGTTTGATGCCTACCGGAAAGAGAATTTTAAGTTGCATGCTATGCTTTTTTGCACAATCAATGACTTTCCAGCTTATGGAAACCTGCCTGGGTATAGTGTCAAAGGGACATAAGGCATGCCCTATATGTGAAGATAATACATGTTATACACAACTTGTCCATGGCAGAAAGACAGTCTACTTGGGTCACCGGAGGTTTCTTGATAGAGCTCACCCTTACAGGAGATTAAAAAAGGCTTTCAATGGGCAACAAGACTATACAGATGCTCCACAACCAATGACTGGGATTGAAGTTTATGAACGTGTAAAAGGTATAAATTTTACTTTTGGTAAAACTCAAAAGCTTAAATCTCAAAGAGGTAAGAGGTCAAGAGCTAATGTTGAGGTACATCCAAATGAAAAGAGTCCATGGAAAAAGAAATCCATATTTTTTGATCTTCCATATTGGAAGACATTAGATGTGAGACATAGTATTGATGTGATGCATGCGGAGAAAAATGTGTGTGATAGTCTTGTTGGAACTCTTTTAGATATAAAAGGTAAGACTAAAGATGGACTCAATGCTAGATTAGACTTGATTGAAATGAACATAAAAGCAACATTAGCTCCACGACAAGGGGATAAGAAGACATATTTGCCTCCAGCTGCTCATACTTTATCAAGAAAGGAGAAAATAAGTTTTTGTGAGTGTTTACGTGGAGTCAAGGTACCACAATGGTACTCATCAAATATTAGAACACTTGTGAATATGCAAGATTTAAAATTGGTGGGATTGAAATCTCATGATTGTCATGCCTTAATGCAGCAACTATTGCCAGTGGTTGTCAGAGGTATATTGCCCAAAAAGTTGAGATATACTATTATAAGATTTTGTTTCTTTTTCAATGCTATCTGTGGAAAAGTGATTGATCCAGACAAACTAGATGAGTTGCAAAATGGCATTATTGTTACATTATGCCAGTTGGAGATGTATTTTCCACCGTCATTTTTTGATGTCATGGTTCATTTGGTTGTACATCTAGTGCGAGAGATCAGACAATGCAGTCCTGTTTATTTGAGGTGGATGTACCCATTTGAACGGTACATGAAAGTCTTAAAAGGTTATGTGAGGAACCGATATCGACCAGAAGCATCAATTGTTGAAAGCTATATTGCTGAGGAGGTAACTGAATTTTGTACTGAGTATTTGGCGGGGGTAGAAGCTATTGATCTTTCTAAGTATCGACATGAAGGAAGAAGTGCTGGGAAAGGTACTCGAAGATGCAAAGTAGCCAGTATGCCTCGTGAAGATATTGAGGAAGCACATTTGTACATCTTGCATAATACAAGTGAAGTCGAGCCATATTTAGATGAGCACAATGCATTAATTAAAGAGCAAAATCCAAAAAAGACAGACATGTGGATTGTGAGCGAACATAATCGTACTTTTATTAGTTGGTTCCAAAATAAAGTTCTGAGTGCTACTAACTATTCTGAAACAGTACGATGGTTAGCTCATGGTCCTTGTATGCAAGTCATATGTTATACTGGATATGATATAAATGGATTTTCTTTTTATACAAAAAAACAAGATGAAAAAAGCACTATGCAAAACAGTGGAGTTTCTTTGGTTGCAAATTCAGTGCACTTCAGTAGTTCGAAAGATAAAAATCCGATCATTGCAGAGTTGTCATATTATGGTGTGATTGAAGAAATATGGGAGGTTGATTATGTTCAGTTCAGAGTGCCGATGTTCCGATGTAAATGGGTAGATAGTAAACATGGTGTTAAAGCTGATGAGTTAGGGTTTACACTTGTCGATTTGAACAGGGAAGGTCACAAAAATGAGCAATTCATAATGGCATCTCAAGCAAAATAAGTATTTTATGTTACTGATCCTAGTGATAAAAAATGGTATGTTGTTCTTCATGGAAAGAGACAAATTACTGGTGAAGGGAATGAAGATGTTAGTTATGAGATTGAGGAAATACCACCTTTTTCTTCAAGTTTATTACCAGTTATTATAGATAATGAGATAGATGAAGTGCATGCATCACGAGATGATCATCATGAAGGGCTATGGGAGAATTGATTATTATTTGTAATGCTTTAACTTCTTCTTGTGTTTACTATATCTAAATATTTACAGTTATATTTATGTATATTATTCTTTTGTCAATTCACTAATAATTTCTTTGCTAAACATGCATATGGATTCATCAAATGACCCCCCTATTGATAGTACCACCCAAGCTAAAGGTACTAATACCAAAGCTAAGAAGAGGGGTGCCACTGTTATGACAAAATTAATTTCTGGGCGTGGTGACACAAACAAGAAATTGGTGGTTCAATTTGATAGTAAACACGAAGCTGTTGGGGCAGGGAGCGCCCAATTCAAAAGTTATTTTTCTCTAATTGCACGGAGCAAAGTTCCTATCACTTATAAAAATTGGAAAGTGGTCCCAGAAGAGAGTAAAGAGTTGGTGTGGGATGATATCGTGGTATGCAACTTATTTATAAAACTTTTGAATTAATTGTATTTAATTTGTTTCTAATAAATAATCTTGTCTTGCAGAGCGTTTATGATATTCCCACTGATGCGGATCTGAAGGATTCTTTGATGAAATATGCGGGTGAACGGTGGAGAGATTTTAAAAGTAGATTGAACAGAGGCTACATATTCAATAATGAAGACCCAATAAACAATACACCATGTCAAAAATACACATTCGTTGATCCAAATACATGGAAAAATTACTTGGAGCGTCGTAAAACTGCAGAGTTTGAGGTATATATTATTTGTTTTCTATCAATTATTTATTAACTGAAATATATTAAAGATATATTATTACTTAATGTTTTCTTTTTGTGTAGGAATCAAGAAAGAAACATCAAGAGATACAGAGTAAGAATGTTCATCCACATCATTTAGCCTGAGGAGGCTATAAGAGATTGGAGAAGATTATGATGGATGAGAAGATGAAAGAACAAGAAGAAGCTGCAAGTTCAGATCCATGGTCAATAATTTCTCCTCCATCTCCACCAGCTAGACATGAAAAGTGGAAGAGGGCAAGAATGAACAGATCAGGAAATATCAACAACGAAGCGACTAGAATGGTCGTGGAAAAGATTGTAAGTAATATGTTAAAATTTTCTACATTATTAAGATAGCTAGTAATCATTATTAAATATTGTTTTTATATGTTAGGATTTTCTATCATTGCAAGCTTCTCAAGGAGACTTTGTTGAGTCTGGTAGACAAGATATATTGTCTAATGCCATAGGTACAGATGAGCATTGCGGACGTGTTAGAGCCGTGGGTAGAGCACATGGCTTAAAAAGCTACTTTGGTCCTGCAAAACGTCGTCAAAGCCAGTCTACACCAGAAGTGAAAGATATGATTAAAACAGCAGTTGCTGAGGCGTTAGCAATTGCCCGAGAGCAATATGAAACATCCTTGCAAGCAGCCATTCAAGAGATGAGGGATGAAATTAGTAGTATGAAGACTCCAGCGGCTCAACCTGTACCATCAAGGCAGGAGGAAGACATGCGTGTAGCTGTCCAACCACATGGTCATAGTGAAAAAGCAAGTTCTCTAGACCCTTTTGCTGATTTACCGGCCGTAAGTAATCATTTATAACTAATCTTATTATTATTTGTTAAAAACATTTTAGCTATTTCTTAATATGAATTCACGCAGTTAGGAGCAGGATGTGAATTATATTTAGAAGATCCCATTAGACATAAAGTTGCACGTGGGACAGTTTACAAGGCCGAAAGGGTTCACGGGATACAAATACATGTGGATCAAGTGAAGGTCACCGTGACTGAAATTCTTGTGTCAAGTGCAAAGGTACCCTTCCCTACCGATAAGGTTCAACTGTTAAGGGATGCACTCCACAACGTTATTATTTGGCCAAAGAAGTTGGTTGAGTTATATACCGAAGCTGATGAGGTATGTATTTTTAAAATTTTTGGATTTTAAAATATTATTTAATTTACTTTTTAAAAATAGTAATTGTTACTTATATTGAACAGGCACAAATGACTTATGATTCCGGTGTGCAACGACCTTCTGTTGATCTCACTATAGCTGATCCGACTTCTTTGAGTCCTCGATGTCTAAAGGTATATAAAATTGTTCGCAAACTAGATGAAAATGTTGTGATAAAGATGGAGCTTGGTATTGTGGGTGATGTTGACTATCCCTTACAACTTGACCCGTTGGAGATTATGCGTTTCATAAGGATGGAGACGTTAGATGTTTCCATATTGTAGTTCTTTATAAGGTAATAATTAAGTTCTTTACTTATATTTGTTTATATAATATTTTTCATTTCATCTATTATATTACTAATATATATGATTGATTGTATTTTTGAATAGGGGTCTTTATGACAAATTTGATTTGGCATGAAAGACCACATATGGCTTCTTAGATCCACATTTCATTCAACCAGTTTCGAATACTATAGATGAACGGACAAGGTATATCAACGTCACCACTCAATATGGCAAAAAACAATGCTATCTAGCGCCATATATTTTAAAGTAAGTTTTAATTGTTTCAAATAAAATAACTTATATATAATACACTTTTATTATATATTATATTTACTTACAACTAATACATTATTGTTTTGTAGTGACCATTGGATGTTGATGGCAATTTGTCCTCAACTTAATGAAATCTATTGGTTTGATTCAATTGGAGGCCAGCCACGTGATGACATCAAAGATATTGTTGAAAAGTATGTGAACTTATAAGTATTAATATGTATAATTAATAAAGTATGCATGATGTCATAAAGTATTTACGTATACTAATCTCTTATAATTTTAGGTGTGTCAATTCAGCAAAGTTGTTGAGAAGCAATGAATCAACTCGTTCACCAAGATGGACTAAGGTTTTGGTAAGTATTTTATATATTTGTAAAAATACATATATTTTATTGTTTTTTATTAAATAAAATTTTAAATGTAATTTAATTCAAATGTAGTGTGATCAACAAGTTGGAAGTACGGCATGTGGATATTATGTAATGAAATACATGCTTGAAATTCTTTCCAAAGAAGCATGTGCGGGAATGGATAAGGCATGTAATTTAATATAATACCTTTCTCTTTCTAATTTTAAAAATGCTAGCTTACTAATTATTTAATAATTATCAACTTTGTAGATTGTTGAGAGAGTTCGTGGATCGAGCTACACTCAACAAGAAATTGATCAAGTAAGAGACGTATGAGCCGACTTCTTTGTTAAAAGAAGTTTCGTCCTCGAAACTTAGAACGAACGGACGGATTTTCTTAGAACGGAAACTTTAATAAAGATGGTAAGAATTTCAAGATTTGGCTTAAGAGTTTTTCTTGGGATACATGGAAGTTTAGGAATCTCTGAGTTTCAAGCTAACTCACCACAACTAAAGCGCTACTTAAAACTAACAACTTAAGTAAAGTCTACTAACTGAACTTAAAGCTTAACGATTTACCTTGATTGAAATCTCCGGGAGCACCACCTGAGGCATGTAGTTGGGATCCCATCCATACGGGGTCCATCTCTGAACATTCTCCACTCCCCATCTTTCTTCAAGAACTGCAACCCTTTGATCAAGGTTTGCAAAACCGTAGTTCACTTGAGCACTTAAATTGTCGAATCTTTGGTTGACCATCGCATAAAGTTCCTCGTTGGTATGTCCCCTTGACCCTCCTCCATAACCTCCTGATGGCCTTCCTTGAGGTGCTACAATATTTGTCTCTTCGTTTCTAGTACCCATCTCTTGATCAGTCCTTGTGATGTTCCCTTCACCGCCTTCCTCAGATATCGCTCCGGCCTCAATGCCAACACTTGATCACTCCTTTCGTGGTATATTTAGGCTAACCACGAATGCCATCCTCAGCTCTCATCCATGGGCTTCTTAGCAATATTCGTCAAGGTTAGATATTTGTTGTCGGTGATTTGATACAAATCATAATAATATCTCAAGTTTGTTGCATTAAGGGTTGTCCTTGTAGTTCTTTGTATCCTTTGTCCTCTCTCAGGTAAATTCATCTTGATAAAGATCCAACTGAGGACCATACCATAAGGCAAATATTTCCTATTTCTTGCCTTCGAGTAGGTTATGTGCTTAAGCATCAAAACTGGCAAATTTATCTCAATCCCACACCTTATAAAGTAAGCCATGGTACAAGCCCAACTACCAACCTCATTAGAATTGTTCTTGCAAGGAAATAAACAATCTTCTATTAACAAGATTAAAATCTTCTTCTCACCACTCAAGGTGGATTTCTTGGGTCTAAACTCTTTGGGAAATTCCTCTCTTCTTCCTGTCATATACCTCAAATATTCAGCATACCCCACTCTCTCATGGGAAATCCAATCATCCCTATCATAAACATCTACTCCACTCAAAGGCAAATCAAACCAATTTGATAACTTTTGCGGGGTTAATTCCACTTTAGTGCCTCTAACATTGGAAGTAAGTACAGTAATTCCCTTCTTTAATTTGGTGGACAAATTCTCATAAAATTCAATAATCAAATCGGGGTAAATCTCTTCTTGAATTCTTAGAAATTTTCTTAGTAATCCTTGATTTTCCAACAAGTGATTAGTTGCTTCAATTCACAAAAATGCTCAGGGAAGTAAGTTTTACCTCCAATGACCGAGTAGCTAGGTTGATCCCTCATGGCTACTCTCTCCTACTTGTTGTTTCCCCTTTGCCATTTGACTCCACACACTACTTGCCTTGAACCTGATCGGAATTGAGTGAATGACCCAAGTAGTATTTTTCTTGCACTTAGTAGGAGTTGGAGAATGAAACTTTAAATTTCCTAGAAACAAAGATGAAGTTTTGAAGAAGATGGATTTTGCTTTGGGGTGAGACAGTGTGCACACGTAGAAACTGAAGAAGAAAGGGGGTTTCAGCACTTTGATTTGGGGAAGAATTTGAAAGAAGACCAAAATGGCCTTGGCGGGGCTTGGTCACGGTACTCCTCGTGATCCACCGCCCTGATCCGCTGTCTGCTCCTCTGCCACGGTCCCAGGTCACAGATCATAACGTGGTCCGTGACCACTAATTATGCCAACTTTGTTTGGGATGAGGTTTGAACCTAAGACCTTTTTTTTTTATTGAAATCAATGAGTAAATTAACGGTGAACTAACGGCAATTCTTAAAATTTTAACGGAATTAGTAACGGTGTGTGGGTATTTTAGGAAATTTTAATGTAAAATTTAAATCTTATCAATCTTTTAACCAATCTGAGCCATTCATTTGATTAAAATCTGTGACCGCCATTTTTTCTACCCATTATAGGCCTAACTCTCTTGGGCTCTTATTAGTGTATATAATATATATATATATATATATATATATATATATATATATATAGTAGAGATAGTAGATTTATGTGGCTTTCTGTAACTTGTAACACTAATTGTGAGTATATGGAATTAAATATTAGAGGAAGATAATGACAACATGAGAAGAAATTTTTTAATGTTAAGTGGGAATCTTACAGTTTAAATTTCTCCTTTTATTTTTTTCTCTCTCTCTGTTTTGTGTTTATCGAAGGCAGCTCCAGCTAGATCTATCCAAATTAGGAACAACTAATCACGCTTTAAGAAAAATTAACTAGGGATTATAGATCATGAATACATGTGAATAAGGGTGAGCTTGGAAATATGACAAATAAGTTTTAAAAAATAATTAATTTTTATTTCAAAAAAATAATTAATTTTTTAAAATAATATTTACATTTGTTAGTGTTTGATTCAATGTTAGAAATCAGTCATTTTTTATTCCGTTAAAAGAAAATATTGTAGTATTTTTTCTGTTTGATTGATTTTTTAAAAACATGTGCAACATCTAGGTTTAAATTGATGCACAAATTAGTGTAGAATTGTAGACCCTTCAAAATATACACAAAATGAGAAATGGTGTAACACCCCTCAATTTTACCGTTCAAACCCGAATTAATTGTTTAATTAATTTTAAGTCGCCCCATCATTATTTCAATGATGTTCGTTAAGAGTGGTTAAAAGGAATTAATTTGGCCCAGAATCCCTTAAATTATTGATATGGTCCATGGTGGACCGTGGACCCTTGTCAATAATAAAGCCCTTGAGCTTGTTAGAATGAAGAAGGTGAGCCCATTACTATTCAGATTCTCATTAGGAATCTTAAACCTATTTAAAAGGAATTAGAAAACATTTAGAACCATTTCCACCCATCCATATTCTCTCACTCGAAAACTCCCTCCCAAGACATAGTCAAAGAATTCCCCATCTTTTCCACCATTGAAGGCTATCAGGTTTATACCATTCCCGATCACCGAGCTTAGGAAAGATCAATTGGAAGAGGACCTTGAAGAAGAATTTTAGGATTTGTGAGAAGTTTAATTAAGCTAAAAGGTAACCCATGTCTTACAAAACCTATTTTCTTTGCTATATTACGATTTATTGGTATCCGTGAATGATGGAATGCGTTATCTTGTGATTATGCCTTGATAGAGCTTGTATTTAGGGTTTATATTGTGGGTTCTTAATATTCTTGATGTTCTTGAGCGATTGAATGCATATTCTTGTATTTATGCATGTTTAGAACTTGTAATTAGGGTTCAATAATATTATTCCTTGGGCCATTCAATGTATTCAAGTCCCTATTATTGTTGATGTGAGTTTTGATGTGTTTGGACTTCAATTTGGGCATAATTGTTTAATTCCCGAAGTGGGGAAATTTGCCACAGGTTTGGTACCAGTGGGTAGTCGGTGGGGGGACGAACCCCCACTTGACCACCCGCTGGAACAGTTTGTTCCGCCGGCAGGTAGTTGTCGACCCGCCGTACCATCTGCTGGTACGTCCGCCGCAGTGGTCCGTCGGCCTCCGTTGGGTCGATCCCCGTGCCCCGAAGTGTCTTTTGACATTTCTTATGTCTAGAGCGATGTCCTTAGTACCGTAAATAGGATTTGTGAGTCGTGATTAATGCATATGGTCTAGACTTATACCTTGTTGGTTCGGAGTACGGTCTATTACGTTCCTCATGAGTCTTGTGGTTATCTTGATGTCACTTAAGGTAAACATTATGATGTCCCCTATGAGTTATATGTTTATATTGATGTCACTTGTCGCTGAGAATCTGTGCATGTGTTGTACCCTTCCCTGATTATCCATTGTTGGAGTCATTGTTGAGTCGAGAATGTCGTATTGATGTCCATGATGATGAATTGAAGCTGGCGGTATGATATTGTGTTACGGTACGATTACCTTATGGGGTGGCACTGCGTGTGCTTATATTACAATGCTGCGGTACTGATGTTTTGGTACTACGTGTGTTTATGTTATTGCGATGCGGTGCAATTATGATTATGATTACTAAAAGCAGGTGGAGATGCAGGCGGGGAGGCGGGGAGCATTGCTCAGGAGGGATAAGGTTGGACTGATGTACAGGGTGGTCTCGGAGGTACAGGTTGGAACTGATATAAGGATGGAGCGGTGTTATAAGTTCGGAACTTGGCATAAGGTTGGAACATGGACGTGTCATGTGGTCATGGTTTGTTGTTCTTGTCTCCTATTGTTGTCTTGTCATGCCTATCCTAAATGTTATGTTACGAGTCTAATTGTGTCGATGAGTGTATCCTCCTATGAGTCATTATCCTGATTTTAAAGCTAGAGTTGTTTAGGACTATATTTATGTATTCCCAAGTCTCGAAATGGTTTTCTTATATCTATATTTATTGTACTCAACGCGTGGGAGTGGGTTACTTAGCATCATTCGCTAAGGATTGCTACACCATATGTTTTTCAGGTACAGACTAGTTGACATGAGAGCGCGCTAGATGGAACCGTGGTTCCTAGACGTATTATTATAGGCGATCTCAGATTTCTCAAGAATTTCTTGGAGGAAAACAAGATTTTCATGGAGAGAATTAAGTATCTCTTGGTTGTCTTGAAGAGGCAAGCGTGGCTGTGGTTGCAAGAAGTGTAGATGGAGTGTTCCTTTAAGCGAAGTTACAGCAGCATAAGCCATTTGCGTCTATGTGGTAAACCGATGATCAGAGCAGAACTAAGTAAGAAGAAATGGAAAAAGTGTTACAGTTTAGACATCAATTCTCTCGTCAACGCTAAAGTTTAAACAACCATGATTTTAAAATTATATATTAGCGGTAGTGGGTTAGCAGTGTTTTTTTTTGTCCCAGATAATTTAATATCAAATATTTCTACCCTATCACAATTATGTCCAATTATTTTAATTAAGTTTACAAATAATTAAACTCTATTGATTTATTTATATATTAGTTAATTTGGTGGTTATATATAATATTTAAATATAATTATATGTAGGAGAAATATAATTACATTTTTTGTTGTAGATTAGAGGGCAATTTATATCCTACACCACGGCGCGCGTTGCATTGTGCGCCCAGATGTAAAACGACACCGTTTCAATTTTTTTTTTTTTTTTTTTTTTTTAAATTTCACTACCCAGTGTTTGACAGTTAATTTTCCTTAAAAAAAAATCTAATGTTCAAAAATGTACATAATGTTATACTAGAATACACATAATTGTATACATGAATGTACATAATTATATAACAAAATACACATACTCTTTTTTCAAAGATAATACACATAATCTAACATAATACATAATAAACATAAACTTTTAACATAATACACATCAACTCTTAACATAATACACAAAAATTTCCTGATTCGGATGTACATAATTGTATAAAAAAAATGTACATAATTGTATAAAAAATGTACATAATAAAAAATATACATAATTGTATAAACAAATATACATAATCATGTCAACTTCCTACCGCGCTTCGCAAAACAACGTCGTTTTGGGAAGCGCGGGGCGCACAGTGCACTGTGCGCCGTGGTGCAGGGTATAACGATTGATAGGATACCCCATAAACCTAAACACCAATCGAGGATTAATTGAAGAATTAATCCAAGTTTCCTTGCTAATTCATTCCTAAAAATCCTGAAATTTGATAGTCAAGGGACTAGATTTTGACTATCACTTAAGTCAAAAGGGTGAACCTTGTGCTTCTTGAGTTGTGCCCTTGTTCCCTTGTGATTGCTATAATCTGCAAGCGCACAGAGTCAATCACAGTATAAATTCCTGGAGTATTCCAGGGTCGATCCCACGAAGAACACTATTAACTGTTATCTTTAATAATCAAATTGTTGATAAGGAAAATCTCAAATAAATATAATTAATGTGATTAAAAATAATATTTATGAACTTAATGAAAAGAAAATTCCAATTGAGAGAAGACTAGGGATTTGGGTTCACCTATTAGATAATTAACTAACTCTCCTAAATATTAATTCTTATGACTATAATGATGATTGCTTCAAATATATCCTAATACTCCGTCGAGCTACTAGGTTGTATCCAATTAACTGTGATCATCCGTCGATATCTCACAAACATTAATTAAACCCATTAAGCAACAATCAAATATCACCACAAATACCTAAAGCTATGTCTAGTTTATGTCAATTGTGTTTATCTTACGAGTTCGAGGTTCATAATTCACCTGTCAGTTCTTCTTATGAATCCTAATATTAGAATTATGCAATGGCCAGTCACACAATTCACAATTAAAATACATAAAATAAATATAATCAAATTCAATTATTAAATTGAAATTGGAAGAATTAACCCTGAAAAATAGTCAATTAATCTAATATAGGCTAATCCAAATCCCTAATTTAAGTTCTAGCCAATAATCATAATTAAATGCATAAATTGTTCAAGGAACATCATTCTGAAAATTTAAACAAGAAATAAAGTAAGGAAGAAAAACAATTCAAGCCTAAGAGATGATAGCTGCGATTGAAGCTCAGAAATTCCTCGCTGAAGTCGCTGCCGCGCACCCAGGCTCTCTGGTTCTTCTCTCCGGCGTTTTCTTGTTATGTTTCGTCTCACCCGAATCAAAACAAAGGAAAGGAAGTTTTAAAAGGGCTTTTATCCTTTCTTTTTTCCTTTCCCTAGGCTGCACAAAAACCCAAGTTAATTTCCCTTTTCTTTTTTCCTTTCTATTTCGTTAGTTTCCAGTGAATCCCTAAACAAGAAACAAAAATATCTTTCTTTTATTCCCATGATCTCTCTTTATTTCTTCATTCATCACCAAAGCTTTTTAGGTTTGCAAATTGACCCCTGAATTCTTTAATCTCCCTTCAATTGAATCCATCTTCATATCATCAAATAAGCTTACTCACAATTTGACCTCAAAACTTATGATTCTCTTCAATTAAGTCCTACCTGACAAAGAGTGCACAATTAATAAGATTTAACTCAAAATGAATCCCATTTAATAATAATGGACCTAAAATCACAATGGAATAATATATAAAATACGCACATATTCTAGACCTATCAAACTTCCCCACACTCCAGGTTTTGCTTGTCCCCAAGCAAACTTATGCAATGAAACAAAACTACCAACCATGACCATATCTACTAGGCATTCAATTCAAGGGAATTGGTGAACACATAATATTTCATGAGAGTTCAAAGTCATATGCACACAAGACAATAGAGAATAGTAGTCCTCACGGTTGTTCACTCAATCTCTCTTAAATATATGTATAAGAAAGGTACACACCATCCTCTATTGAGAGTGCACTTGCCATAGGCTTGCTTGTCAACCAAAACTCCACTACCAAAATTATATGAAGAACACAAGTCAAAAGGTCTTTATTTATGGGTTGTAATGGGGCCAAGGGTATGTGGTTTAACAAAGAATGGATATAAGGGAATACAAATAAAGTCCAAGGAATCAGTAGAACCATAATTCCACCATATCAAGAGCAAGAAACTGTATTCTACCAATGCAATGTACTCTACCAAAACAAGCCATCACTTATACTTCAGTTTCCCTCATCCTTTTCACTGAAAAACTCTCAAAACAACTTCAAAATCTCATTTTTCATCATTTTTTTCTTCATTTTTTTCTTGGTTTTTTTCCTTTTTTTCTTTTTTTTTTCCTGGTAAGACCGAATAGATAGCTCATCGTTTCCACATCACCCTCAATAGTACTCTTTCCATAATCATCAAATTTCTATGATGCCTTCATTGCTCATAAATCATTTTCAGAATAAAATGAGCACAAAAGTTTAGGCTAATAAGATTTTTCAACCCACAAAATTAGAATAGATCTCATTTTGTTCATTTTTTCATTTTCACCCCCTTTGATCACAAAAAATTCTTCACTCAAAGAAAACCAATTGTACAATCACCTTTCAACTCCAATCTCACCCATCCTTCATCACTTTTGGTCACCTTGCACAAATAAATGAAATAATGACATCTACTGACCCAAGGACGGGTTAAGAGGCTTCTTTTTATGAGCTAAGGTTCTTTGGAACTGGCTAATGAAGAAAAATGTCTTATATTTATTTTAAAGCTCAAAAATGGTTCACTAGGGGAAATATAACATGTATAAGGATGTGGTCATTTTAAAGGCTATAAGGCTAAATCCTAATGCCTAAATCATTCTCGTGTCATCATATAACATGTAGTTCTGAAATGGTATAAAGCAAGTTCTAGAAGTAACACAATCAAGGAAGGCAATAAACACTCAAAATGAAAATAAGTTGCAGTGGGCAACCTCTAGGCTCAAAAGCTCACGGTGTGATAGAATTTGACTACCAACTCTATGCAAGCATACATATAGCCAAACACATTCATTGATATTATGCACTCCCAAAACACTAGAAATTATCTCCCAACCAACATAGTCATTAGATGGTAGTTTTTAAACTTAATTTGCTAAGAAATTGCAGAAAAATGAATGAAAAGATGCAGAAAATTCCATAAAAATGCAGAAAATTAGTGCAGAAAATGCAGAAAAATAGAAAAATGCATGCAGAAAATTCCATAAAAAATGTAGAAAATTAATGCAGAAAAATAGAAAAATGCAGAAAATGTTGCAGAAAATTGCAAGAAAAATGCAGAATTTTTTTTATATTGCCTATTTTGCATAAAACTTGCATAAAACATCCCCTAATCTTACTGTCCCTTCCCCACACTCAAACTCAACATTGTCCACAATGTTAAATATAAAAGCAAGTATGAGAAAATGAAATAAACAGGAAACTTCCCTGTTAGTTGCCAGTTTCTTCCGGGGCTGCCTTTTGGTGAAGCAACCATGAATGGTCTCTTTTTCTCTCTTGCAATCGCTATGGCCTCATACGAACAAACTCTAGTGACCATGAAAGGACCAAACCATCTAGACTTCAATTTCTCTAGAAAAAACTTAAGACAAGAATTAGACAACAAAACTTCTTGCCCTACATTGAATTCTCTCCAAAAATTATTTTTTTCATGCCAAGCTTTAGTCAATGTTCTCCACAATCTCTCTTCTTTTGCATTAAGTAAATGAGCATACGAAATCATAAGAAAAGTACCATTGTCACTCAAAAAGTCATATTTGAACCGCAGTGAAGGTGGTTTAAGTTCAAGTTGATGTGGTGTTTCACTAGCTAGGTGAATGCTTAACAAATTCTTCTTCTGAAGGTTTCTCAATAACATCAACAAAAATACATGATTCATCAAAAGTTGGTAATTTTACAGCTTTAGAGATAGAGAATTCCTCTTTTTTTGTTCCTACTCTAAAAATCAGTTTCCCTAAAGGCATATCAATTAATACTCCTCCTGTTAACAAAAATGGCCTACCAAGTATAAGGGATGTATCTGTATCACTACCCATGTCCAAAATCAGAAAATCAGCATGAAAATAAAATTTACTAACTTTTACCAAGATATCCTCCACTACTCCAAGCGGGTACTTGACTGATCTATCAGCAAGTTGAAGAGAGATTGTTGTTGGCTTCATTTCAGCTATTTCCAACTTCTTGAAAAGAGTTAAAGACATAAGGTTAATACTAGCACCTAGATCACATAAGCATTTATCAATAACAGTATTACCAATAGTGCAAGGAATAGAAAAACTCCCTGGATCCATTAACTTAGGAGGTAATTTGCTTTGCAAAACAGCACTACACTCCTCATTTAGGTGCACAGTAGCAAACTCTTCCAATTTCTTTTTATTCGACACAATTTCCTTAATGTACTTGGCATAAGATGGCATATTGGCAAGTGCTTCTGTAAAAGGAATATTAATTTGTAATTTTTTAAAAACCTCTAAGAATCTTTTGAAGTTATTATCCTGGTTCCTCTTTTGTAACCTTTGTGGATATGGAATGGGGGGTACATAAGGTTTTACTGTAGAGGAAGTGAGGTTTTGATCACTAGAATTCTCTTTAGGCACTTGATCCTCTTCTTTATCACTCTCTTTCTCAACCCTCGTGGGTTCATTTTCTTTCATAATTTCATTCAATATCTTACCACTTCTCAACGTGACAGCCATAGCTCCTTCCCTAGGGTTTATTTCAGTGTTACTAGGAAACTTACCTCGATCTTTTTCTGCAACCAATTTAGCCAATTGACCTACTTGCACCTCTAAATTATGAATGGATGCTTGGTTGGACTGAGCAACCTTATCAATTTTTGCATCCATTTTCTTCATCATCGTGTCCTGGCTAGCCATGTATTGCATGAACATCTCCTCCAATTGAGGCTTTTTCTCCTGAGCAGGAAGTTGAGACTGTTGTGGTGCAGGTGGCTGTTGGAAAGGTCTGTATTGCTGATTCTGGAATCCTGATTGTCCTTGTTGCTGGAATCCGGGTGGTTCCATTGGTCTTGCATTACCTTGATCTCTCCATGAGAAGTTAGGGTGATTTCGCCAACCTGAATTATATGTATTAGAAAATGGATCATTTCTTTGTTGTTGCCTACCCATGTTGGATCCCATGTAATTAGCTTCCTCATAATATGATTGTGATGACTCTGCATTCATACAAACAGAAGAATTATGACCATATGTATTGCAAAAAGCACAAAATTCTCTATTCGAACTATCACGAGTCATCAACAAGTTAATCTGTTTAGTCAATTCAGCCATTTGCGTTGTCAACTCAGATTGTGTGCTAATTTCATGCACAGCAGCTCTTCGACCTCTCACTGCCTTTTGTCGAGAATTAGTAGCTAAGCTCTCATAGATAGCTTCTAATTCATCACTATTTTTATCACCTGTGTATCCACCTGCAGCAGTATCTACAAGAGACTGACAATTAGGAGTTAAACCATCATAAAAGAATTGTGTCAACAATAACAATGGGAATTGATGGTGTGGACATTGTGTCAAAAGCAATTTAAAACGATCCCATGCTTCATGAAATAACTCAGCCTCTCTTTGAGTGAAAGTGCATATCCTACTCCTATAGTCCATTGTCTTTTGAGATGAATAATATTTAAACATGAAAGCGTTGTAAACATCATCCCAAGCTCTTAAAGAACCCTCTGGTAAATTTAACAACCACTGCCTAGCATCTCCCCTCATGCAATATGGAAAACATTTCATTCTAAGCTCTTCTTCAGATAAATTATTTAAAGGTAAAGTTTGTACCGTACTATAGAGCTCTCGCATGAAACCCAAAGCATCTTCACTTCCCAAACCGTTAAAGGTAGGGAGCATATTCAGATGGAAAGTCTTGAGCTCATAATTTCTAGTTGCATAAGATAATTGAATGCAAGAAGGGTTAATAGCTATTACCGATCTTTGGATGTCACGAAGACGTGGTTGAGCTGCTTGATTTTGAGGAGGTGGAACTATTGGTGGTACGGGGTCATCCAGTTGACCCACTCTATTATTTTCAGCCATATCAAGCCGCCTTCGTACCCTGTTTTTTCTGCAAGTACGCTCAATTTCAAGATCAATAGGAGATAATTCAATGTTTTTATGCCTCAGTGATCGCCTTAAGTTCATAAACAGAACAAAATAAAAACAGAAAAACAAAAACTAAATAAAAATAAAAATAAAATAATAACGAACCTAACAACCTAAATAAATTTGAAAATAAAATTTTAAGGAAAACAGTTTAACAAAGTGTTCCCCGGCAACGGCGCCAAAAACTTGATTGCTATAATCTGCAAGCGCATAGAGTCAATCACAATATAAATTCCTGGAGTATTCCAGGGTCGATCCCACGAAGAACACTATTAACTGTTATCTTTAATAATCAAATTGTTGATAAGGAAAATCTCAAATAAATATAATTAATGTGATTAAAAATAATATTTATGAACTTAATGAAAAGAAAATTCCAATTGAGAGAAGACTAGGGATTTGGGTTCACCTATTAGATAATTAACTAACTCTCCTAAATATTAATTCTTATGACTATAGTGATGATTGCTTCAAATATATCCTAATACTCCGTCGAGCTACTAGGTTGTATCCAATTAACTGTGATCATCCGTCGATATCTCACAAACATTAATTAAACCCATTAAGCAACAATCAAATATCACCACAAATACCTAAAGCTATGTCTAGTTTAGGTCAATTGTGTTTATCTTACGAGTTCGAGGTTCATAATTCACCTGTCAGTTCTTCTTATGAATCCTAATATTAGAATTATGCAATGGCCAGTCACACAATTCACAATTAAAATACATAAAATAAATATAATCAAATTCAATTATTAAATTGAAATTGGAAGAATTAACCCTGAAAAATAGTCAATTAATCTAATATAGGCTAATCCAAATCCCTAATTTAAGTTCTAGCCAATAATCATAATTAAATGCATAAATTGTTCAAGGAACATCATTCTGAAAATTTAAACAAGAAATAAAGTAAGGAAGAAAAACAATTCAAGCCTAAGAGATGATAGCTGCGATTGAAGCTCAGAAATTCCTCGCTGAAGTCGCTGCCGCGCACCCAGGCTCTCTGGTTCTTCTCTCCGGCGTTTTCTTGTTATGTTTCGTCTCACCCGAATCAAAACAAAGGAAAGGAAGTTTTAAAAGGGCTTTTATCCTTTCTTTTTTCCTTTCCCTAGGCTGCACAAAAACCCAAGTTAATTTCCCTTTTCTTTTTTCCTTTCTATTTCGTTAGTTTCCAGTGAATCCCTAAACAAGAAACAAAAATATCTTTCTTTTATTCCCATGATCTCTCTTTATTTCTTCATTCATCACCAAAGCTTTTTAGGTTTGCAAATTGACCCCTGAATTCTTTAATCTCCCTTCAATTGAATCCATCTTCATATCATCAAATAAGCTTACTCACAATTTGACCTCAAAACTTATGATTCTCTTCAATTAAGTCCTACCTGACAAAGAGTGCACAATTAATAAGATTTAACTCAAAATGAATCCCATTTAATAATAATGGACCTAAAATCACAATGGAATAATATATAAAATACGCACATATTCTAGACCTATCACCTTGTCTTTCCAACATTAGTAAGGGAAGAGATGTCTTTTCACCTATGAATTGTGATTCAAGCTACCCTAGCAAGACATCCTCATTTCATTCATCCTTTCAGCCTAAAACTCAAACACTCTAGCCTCTCTCTAAAATAATTTAGCTTATTCTCCAAGCAAGAAAGTGAACTTTCAAGCCTTGCAAGATTTTCTAACAAGATTCCTACTTTCCCTTTCTTGAGCATAGGAAAGGGTAAGATTCTTAGCTTTTTGGTGTTTTTAACCTTCTTTTGGGTGTCTTTAACTAAAGTTAGGGTCTTTCTTGTGTTTTGGTTTGTGTAAGAAGTTGGTGTGGAAGAAGAGCTCTAGGAAAAGGCTTAAAAGGGTGGAAAGAAGAAGTTGTTAGGCTACAAAGGTAACCCAAGCTATACAAAACCTATTTTCACTTGATACTAAGGATTATTGGCTTCTACTTATTGTTCTTGTGATAATTTGTGAGATTTGATGCATGATCTTGTGATGACGCATGTTTAGAGCTTGTTTTTAGGTTTCTTGAATGCCATTGCTTGGCTATTTCTTGGGTTCAAGTCATATCATTGTTTTGTGTGAGATTTTGGGTGTTTTGGACTTGAACTTGGCCTTGATGTTGATTTTCCCCGAAGAGAAATTTTGGTATACAGATTGTACCCCCCGGGCAGAACGACGGGTGGAGGCCTACCCACCGCCCCACCTGCGGGGAACCGGCCTCTCGTGGGTGTGTACCCGCGGGCGGAACCATGGGTGGAGGCCCACCTGTGGCCCCACCCGCAGGGAACGTTGTGGATTTGGTCGGGGATTTGTTCCCCGTGATTCTTTCTTCTCGGTATTGATGTTTTGACCTCCTGATGTTGATTTATTGGGCTATTTGTGAGTCTTCTTGATGTTTCGTATGTCTAGAACGGTGTGTTAGGAATCCATGTAGGATTTGGTGTCTTGAATCGTGCTAAGGGTCCAACTTGGTGATTCGTTGGGCTAATGTGAGTCTTGAATGTTCTTTGGAACTACTTTTGGTTTGCCCGGTTGATAAGCATGCTAGTTTGATGTTGATAGGCTAGTATGTGTGGTTTGTTCCTTTTTATTGGGATTGGCAACTTGTGTTGACAATCATTTGGTGTTGAATTATATCCTTTGTTGTTGAGTATGGTCTCATGTCTTTATTGTGATCTCTTTATTGATTCGTTGTACCTCTTGTTGACACTTGATTGGGGCCATTGATGGGCCTTAGTCTTCTTGATGATATGATGACTATGTGTGACTATAAATGTGATTGGTGGTGTGTGACTTTAGCTTTGCTCACATGATCGGTGGTGTGTGAATATGATATTTAATGGTACCCTCGTGTACTAAGAGTTCGGCGGTGCATGATTGGCGGTGTAGGTGGGGGGGGGGGGGGGGGGGCGACGGTCCCCGGCGGTATAAGGTTGGACTCAGAAGTACAGGGTGACACTAGGAGGTAACGGTTGAAACTGTTAGAAGGTCGGGGGTAGCCATAAGGTTGGAACAGGGCATAAGGTTGGAAGTTGAAACATTGAAACTATGACACTGGTGACATGAAGTTGTCACTGGTGAATGTGAATTCCTTTCTTATGAGCATGTCTTGATGTATTCTACCTTGTGAAGGGTAGTAGGTTGCATCGTGAGTGGTAATGTCTATGTTGGTTGTGGTTTTATCCTTGTTGTGAGGTTGATGATCCTCATTTTTGTTGAGAGTGTGATGATCTTTGATGTTGACTTCCTTTCCTTGGCTTTAAAATGATATATATTGTATTCACCGTTTCAAATGGTTTTTATTATATCTATCTATATTATGCTATTTAACGCGTATTGATGGGTTACCGGCATTATTCGCTGATCGGGTATTATCCCTTGATTTTACAGTTTTGAGTAGATGCCGAGCGCGCTAGATGTGGACTCTAGATAGTATAGATCCCATGCTAGACGTTTATCTTTTTGTTGGCCTGTGTGCCTAGATTAGTGGCATGTGTGCCTAGACTAGTGGCCTGTGTGCTTAGGCTTATGTTGCTTGATGATATTGTTAGTTTTTAGCCTGTGCACCCATGGTTTATGGGTGTGGCATAACATATCTCTGATTTTCTTTAGCTTTCGCTTAATGTTGTCTTGATGATTAGCTGTTTACCTTGAATCTAAGTTTTAAAAAGTTGGTAAAAATCGGGGGTGTTACCGTTGGTATCAGAGCCTAGGTTTGAGCCTAGGATGTTAAGAGTTGAACATTAAGAAGCTAAGTGTGATTTAAGACTCTAAGTTGACCTTTAAGTGCCTAAGTGTTTAGGACTTAGGATTATTAAGACGCGCGGTGAGCTGTGAGTTGCTAGTTGTTTGTTGTGTTTGTTCCGTTGCTTCTGTTTAGTTTTAGCGTTCTCGTCTTTAGTGCCGGGTAAGGGTGCGCAGTTTCTTGTGCCTGCCGTAACCGTGTTGTTTCAGTAGAATCTAGCTATGGCTCCGCCTCGTCATTGTGCCCACACCCCGGAGACGCCGACCAATGAGCAACTGGCCCAGAACCTGCAACATCTGACGCAGACGTTAGCGACGCCCTCTTGCACAACAACAACCCTCCTCCACCGCCGCCTGCCGGGAATCGAGACGTGGGTCGTTTATTTTCGGGGCATAGGCCGCCCGTCTTTGCTGGAGAGGAAGACCCTGTGCTGCTTGAGGAGTGGATCAGGTCCTTGGACATGATCTTCGCTGTTGTGGGTTGTCCGGATGATCGCCGCGTCAAGTTGGCTTCGTTCTACTTTAGCCATGAGGCCGACCTTTGGTGGATGCACGAAGGCCCAGCGTGCCAAGAAGAGCCTGGTTTCAACTGGTCGGCTTTGAAGGATAAGTTAAGATGGAGGTTCTACCCGTCCCACGTTAGAGTGGCCATGTACGAAGAGTTCTTGCATCTTTAACAAGGATCTTCATTTGTGGTGGAATACCACAAACGCTTCCTCAAGTTGGCCCGCTTTGCTCGGATGTTGGTTCCCACCGAGTTGGCTAAGGTGGAGAAGTTTGTGGCGGGGCTCAACTACGAAGCCCGGAAAGCTTTGACTGTGAGCAAGCCTAGGACACTTAATGAGGCTTACCTGAGCGCAACAGATCTGTATCGAGTGCAACAGCTTCAACGGGGGTCTTTTGAGTTTGCTAAGAAGATAAGTGAAGGGAGTGGATCTCACAGTTTTAAAAGGCCAAGGCAAGATTTCAAAGCAGGACCTGTACCTCCTCAGTCTCACGGATCGACTCGGACCAATAGTGGAGATAAAGGAAGGCCCTTCGGATGCAAGAGATGTGGGAAGGACCACATCCGTAGGATTTCCAAGGGAACGCGCTTCAGTGCTTCAAGTGCGGGTAAATGGGCCACAAAGCTTTTGAGTGCCATCTCCAATCCAACCAGAGAGCCTTGCCAGCTAACGCGAGACCCAGCGGACCTTCAGGAGGGAGTTCCGGTCAAGGCCCGGGAGGGACGAAGCCTACGGGCAGGGTGCGGTCAAGGCGCGGGAGGGACGAAGCCTACGGGCAGGGTGTTTGTGAAGAACCGGTCGTAGGCCGAGACTGAGGGCTTAGTGGAGGAGGAGTCTGCAGGTAATCTTCTTGAACTTACCTTCTATCTTGATTGTTCTATCTTGAGAGTGTACCTTTTCGTGACTTGATTGTTCATTTTGAGTGGTTAACTTTAGTTCTAATTCCGAGGTTTTATACATATACATTTAATTAGGACCTCACACCTTCTTGTCAACCAAAGCCCGAGCTTAGTGGAGACCTTCTTGTCAACCAAAGCCCGGGCTTAGTGGAGGAGGAGTCTGCAGTTAATCTTCTTGAGAGTATACCTTTTCTTGTGATTCCCGTACCCTTCCTTTGTGACTTGATTGTTCATTCCGAGGTTTTATAGATATACATTTAATTAGGACCTCACACCTTCTTGTCAACCAAAGCCTAAACCGTTACCTTAAAAAGTAGAATGGTCATTGATTAAGGGGGAAGTTTAATTTGTAGCTAACAAGTTTCAAACCTGAGTTTCAAAGTTTCCAAACCAACCTTATAACCACCTAGACGAAGTGTGTTTCTTAAACTTTATCCCACATAAATTCCTTTTAACCTTTATCTTAATCTACCCAAAAATCCCAAAATTAAAATCTTCTCTTTCTCAAAATTTCCCCCAAAACCCTCAATTTCTTCCCCTCCACCTGCAAGGTAGCAGCCGAACCCACCCCCTACACGTCGCATCTCCTCTGCCCGTCGACCCCCAGCCACCCGCTAAACAACGTCCGAGACCGCTGTTGCCGAAAGTTCGCCGCCGTGCTACTGCCTGCCGGAACCGCGAAGAAGCCGAAGAAAAAGAAGGAAGGAAAAGAAGGAAAAGAAGGAGAAAGAAGGAAGCAAAAGAAGGAGAAGGAAGGTAGAAAAGAGAGAAGCTTTGGGTCTACTTCATCTTGGACATCTCAAATTATGCCTAGAAGGTCAAAAACCGCAAGAAGAGTGGAATGGGTGGATGCCCATTACTTGGTTTTGGAAGGTAAAGCTTTTGACCCCGACTCTTTTTCTAGTTCTATGTTGGAGTTGTTGAATTACCAAGGTTTGTTGGATGGGTATCTCGCAATTAGGACTGAGACTTACCCAAGTTTGGTAACGGGATTTTATCGTCACTTGAGTGTGACCAAAGATGGAGGGAAGTTGGAAATCACCTCAAAGGTGGGAGGTGTGAAATTTCTTTGACTAAGAAACGGTTGGCTCAACTCTTAAGTTTGACAACCACCGGAGTCTCATAGTACAGTGGTGACTCTTGGGTTGAGACAAGCAGTATGGGTTATCAGAATTATTTGAGCTATCTATTGGGAAGGACTAGTGGTTTTACCCAGGCCACGAGGCCAGAGAGGAAGTGGCTTTCTGCCGAGCAAAAGATTTTGGTAATGCTCGTTTCTGACTATTTGTTGCCTAACAATAACAAGAGTCGCTTGCTGGGTAAATTGGAGTGCACCTTTACTTTTTGCCTGAAGTACAAAGTGAAGTTCAACCTGCCTTGCAACATATGGTCTATTGTAGAGATCATAACCGGAAGATCTTGTGTTGGTCCCGATAGGGTAGTAGAAAGTCTAAAGGGGGGGGGGGGGGGTCGAATAAACTTTCTAAACTTTTTCTCAATAAATAACTCTTTGGTAACTTCAACTCTAAGTAACAAGTAAATAGAGAAGAGTTTAACTTGAACTGCACAGCAGAATAAATATGTATAAAGAGTTATGCCCAATCAATAAATTGAATCACATGCACGTGTAGGATAAGCTTAGATGATGTGTAAGGATGACATGAATATCTTGAATATTTAAAGGAGATGATTCACTCAATATTTAACAATAATATTCAAGATTATAAATAAGACTTCGTGTCACGTCAGCTGTATGATAAATGTCACATGCAACACGTCGAACTTGCTTAGAATAATTCAAAAGTTAATAAGCATAGAAAGTTTGAGTTACATGCAAACGTGAGAACACACTAAACCCGAAAGATTATGATTAACAGTGAATAGTAAACGGGTTAGTCAAATAAGATAAACAGATAAAGCGAGTTATGTAAGTGCAGTATGTAAATGAGAGAGGCAATTTGTAGTGGTTCGGAAGTGGCGTAATCTTCCTAGTCCACTTTACTCCATTCACTTCTAGGAGTAATTCACTATTTTCCACACACAGTTACAATAGTGAATAAGCGCTACACAAGTACTTCTTCCGGATGTCTTGCACACAGCTACACCCAACTCCGAGTGTCTCGCACACAGCTACACTCAACTTCGAGTATTTCGCACACAGCTATACTCAACGCCAACTAAATGTTTTGCACACAGCTACACTTAGCAACTACGAGTGTTTTGCACACAGCTACACTCACTAGAGTATTTTGCACACAGCTATACTCTTTTTACAATTACAAATACAAGGGTAATTGTATCTCTCTCCAACTAATTTTGAGACTATTCAGACTAAGTCTCTCTTCTAGATATTTCAATGAATATTTGAACACTTGTATTTCTAGAATTCGCACTTGTTCATCCGCTTCTATTGTGTGTCTCGTGTCTCTTGTGTGTTCTCATCTTCTTCAAGTCTTCATGGGCCTTTATAGATAATCAAATATATCTGTTGGAGTGGGATATTTTGAATTTTGAAGTTTGAATCTTGTAGCCTGATATTGTTGACAATGGTGGGTCTTCAATTTTGATTTGATTGTCAACTTGCCTGACAAGATAATATTTTATTTCAACCTGATTTTCAAGTTGTTTCTAAAATATTATTTTCCTTGTCTATTTTCAATTTCCAACGTCTCTTTGCAATAAGTTCATCTGATAGAATTTATTTCTTGGATAAGATCTTTTATCCATGCCTTCATAAATTTTCCACCGTTCTGAACATATCTTCAGGCAATTTGGATTTTTGTGACATGTGAGATGAACCAACATATATTCTTTCAGATTTATCTATTTTCTGATCATCTTGCTTCTTTGTCACATCTTGCTCTTTTGAGACGCATTGTGCTTTAAAAATCAGATCTTGCTTGTTTGACTTGACACTTCTTGCTTCTTTGACTTGCTACATCGTGCTTTTTTGATTTGGCCACATTGTGCTTCCAATCCTTGGGGGCAATCGATCTCGGGTGTGATCATTGTATGTAAGGATTTCTACCATTATAGGCTTGTTAATTCTATTCCTTTTGGGACTAAGGATTGGGTTTAGGGATAAGGGCCCGTGGACTATGGTGGGCCTTTCCTAATTAATTATTGTGATTTAATTCTTTCTTTTGGGTAATTGATTAGATGATTTAATTGATTTTAGGGATCGTAACACGGGGTGTTACACTTCGGCCTTATAGTATTAAATTTGGCATTAGTTTGGTAACCAATTCATTGTCTCATTGTGCTATCTTGACTTTTTACAAATTTTACCACTTGAACTTTATTGTTTAAAGTAGTAGTAAAATTGGTCAATTTCTCAAAGGCTTGAGAACACGAAGGATCATAACCAAGTCCGGTTTTATCACTTGAGGGTTTTTGCATATTTACCATTTTATCCATTATTTTGGATGAATGTGTAAATGTTGCTATAACCTCTCTAAGGTTGTATTCTCTCACTCCCTTTATTTACACTCTTCTTGAAGACAAATAATTTTAGCCTTCAAGTCTTTTACCTCAATTAGAGCATTTTGCAATTTTTCGTTTAATTCATCTTTTTCAAGAATTAAAAAATTATTGCACTCTTTGAGTTGAGAGTGAGTGTCCATTACGGTTTGACAATCTTTCATTAAGTGAAAGATGGACTCTCTAGAGAATGAAGAATTTACAGAGTCATAAGATTTAGATGTTACCTCATCTTCTTCATTTTCATTTGCCATAAGGCACATGTCTTCGTAGGATGAATTATTGGAGATACTCATGCAAAACATTGCATTGTCATCTTTTGAGGTGTCACTTTCATCACTTGAAGATTCCTCTGACTCACTTGTTTCAAGTGGGTCACTAATAAGTGCTTTTCTTCTCTCCTTTGTGAACCTTTTATCTTTGGTCTTAAATTCTTTCTGTTCAGGGTTAGAAATATTTGTGTATTGACTTTTACTTACCTTGGGGTGTGGACAACTTGCTGCAAAGTGTCCAGGCTTTCTACAATTGTAGCACAAATTTGAGTCTTCCTCAACCATTTCTTTCTTCGAATTTTTCGT